TGCACCATCTTCAAATTTAAACCTAAACTGGTGTATACATTCGTTGATATGCCTATAATCCAAAACTAAACGGGGCTTCTTTGATCTGCCAAGAGCTACCGTTAAAGGATTAACCACACAAGGTATATCGTTAACTTCTGAAATGCAACCTTTTTCAATCAATTTTAAAATCTCGCCAATAACAAATTCCCCGTTATCCCTAGCAGATTTATTATTTCTCAATATAACATTTTCTTGTGGTACTTTAAATTGAATACCGTATCCCTTATCTATAACACATAAAATATACATGCTTGTGCCTACATCTCTCCATTTGTGTATTGATTTTTTCAATTTACCTACAGGTGTGATTAAACTTGAAGTGACCGTTAACTTTCTAGACACCTGTTCTATACGTTCACGCTCGAGTAAACAAATACCATCATCATTCATGACATCTTTTAAAGACTTATCAGTTAGGTGATTCGTATTCACCTGAAAACTTTTATCATGCAGTAAATCTGTTTATTAACATTAAATAAATTAGCACTTATCTTTCGTTTTCTCTCTGGACATTCAAATTTCCAGTGACAAGGCTTGAAGCAGTTATAACAAACTCCGGGTCTCCCACTTGCTTTTCCATTTGTGTCGTTACCACTAGAAGCCAGAGTTACAGTTGAAGTTGGCCTGCTATACGGCGTTGGTCTTTTCTTCTTAGCTTTCTCTGCTTTGGTTTTCCTCTCCGCTCGTGTCTGCGTTCAAATAATCTTACGATCGTCCCCGGAATCATCTGCGAGTGGATTCGCTGTATATTCCTGTACCATTTTCCATCCCATCTCGGACGAATCAGCCATTTTTACTAATTTTTGCTTGTAGCGTATAAGTTGTATACCTTCTGCTATTTTCTGCTTGGCTAAACCGACACTTGGATCCCTGGACTCCAAACTAGCATCGGCTTCCTTCAAAAGTACGGTAAGTTTATGATTAAATTTGTATTGGTCCTCACAAGACTTTCTTTGAAACTTGTAGTCGTCATTCACCGAAAGTTCATTTTGTAATCTGTTCATTTGCAATTCTGATCTCCGTTTGCTGATGATCAAATTCCTGTAGTTTTATTGAAAACATCCCTTCTATTTTGACAATAAATCGTTCTGTGTTTTTCTAATTTCTTCACCGATAATCCGCACGGAAATTAGGAAGTATACCGCAAACATGAGGTGCAAAAATTTGTACACCATATCCGGATTTTGACAATTAATGTCTCTTCAGTGATGTTAGTGATGTTAGGAATCGAAACGGTATTTGGAAGGCCATATAATTTACCTCAATTTAGGATTGACTCTTGAATTTTGAAGAGTCTAAATAGGATGAACGGATTATATAAACCTGAGGGCAAATATAATACAAGCCCAAACGAAAAAATATAAACAAGTCTAAATTGAAAACAACGTTCAAACCTATGATTGCGCTGGATAAAAACCGCAATTTTTATACGTGTGCATGCAAAACAAATTTCTTGGTAGAGGGGTCTAAATACAGCACAAACAACATTTTCCTAAAGACCTTAAAAGTGAAACGTATATTTTGATAAAACACATTTGACTAGCAGGTCGAACAACGGATGTTCTTAAACCCTGCTGACTGGCATGGCGATTGCCAAATAAACGGATCACCAGATGTAACAAAATGGATCTTAATTATTAATTTAATACCAAACAGAAAACAATAAACTTGCGGAAAAGATGGTATACCGCAAACATGAGGTGCAAAAATTTGTACACCATATCCGGATTTCGACAATTAATGTCTCTTCAGTGATGTTAGGAATCGAAACGGTATTTGGAAGGCCATATAATTTACCTCAATTTAGGATAGACTCTTGATTTTGAAGAATCAAAATAGGATGAACGGATTATATAAACCCGAAGGCAAATATAATACAAGCCCAAACAAAAAATATAAACAAGTCTATATTGAAAACAACGTTCAAACCTAAGATTGCGTTCGATAAAAACCACAATTTTTGTGCGTGTGCATGCAAAACAAATTTCTTGGTAGAGGGGTCTAAATACAGCATATATATGTCAGAAACATTTTTATGATGTAATAATCCAATCGAGCGGTGTCAATCAGTTGTGGATTCTTAAAAATTATAAAGATCTGCACCAATTTAATCCCAATCTTTACAATTTTACAGTAATATCAAAAACCTTCGTTTTTTCTTCGCTATTCACCACTTTTCCCTGTTTTTAATAGAAAGAATGACTACATCGTTTCATTTACCGAGCTTGTTCTTCCAATTTTGGAAACGTAGATACAAATGTACTGTTTTTGGAAAATTTGTTTTAGAAAAACTGATATTAAACAAATGCAACCTTGTAAAAAAATACATCTTAAAAAAATCTTCAATTTTACTCTCAGATAAGTTGATGTCCTGTCACCCTGGATTACGAGTTTTCTTGCCAAAGGTCGGTGTTTTCCTATGGGGACTCCAGCTTCCTCCACAAATAACAACTGGCCACCACGATATAGCCAAGAGTGCTGAATGTGGCGTTACACAACAACAATCAATCAATCAATCAATCAATCAATCAATCAATTATTCATGTCATTCAATAACCCATATTTTAATGAGTGCTTATCTCTTATATATATATATATATCAGTCAATTTGATATTAAGGGTAATTCCGAAAGTTGAATATCTGCCACAAATCTTGATATTTTTCTCGATATTGACACAGATGGACGACTTCAAACTAGAATCTATCATAAACGTGATGATATCAACTTTCTTATTGTCAACTTCACGTGTCTAAGGAGTAACATACCCTCGGCTCCGTTGTAAGGTGTTTAAATATTTCAGTTAATACTTTACGCTCGTGTATATTAACACTATGTGGACTTTATTAACAGGAGTGTGTTCCTTACACAAAAACAAAATTATGAGAAAGAACGGATGATATCAAGACCATTTTTCGTTTACGGTCACCATCACGAGTTTATTGACCGATACGATGTGACGGTGTCCTAAATCACTAATGAGCTTTTGCAATCTCTGATCTTTAAATACCAGTATAGTCGAAAGAAGTGTTATTTTATTGGTTGTGTTCTATTCCAGATTTGGCGTTGTTACTGAATGTGAATTCGCATGGCTAGTAGTATGCTTATAGGTAAACTACTGTCATCTACTTTATCTTTTACAATTGGAATACATACAGTTGAAATTTGTAACCCCTGTGCAGTATTTGATTCCATTATTTCCTTTAATAAAATGACATGGTAAAACTGAACATCAGCAATTATCCATTTTACATTTTTCTCGTCTATGGGTTTCTGATTCATAAACGTCATTAAGTAAAAATATGTCAACATTAAATCATCCGTAGATTAAAGTGAAGTTATTGACAGTTACTGAGTACTGTAGATATAGGATATATATTATAATTAGAAGTCACATGCATAATTGTTTATAAGAACATGCAAAATAAATTCTATAAAACCTACAATAGAATTAATAAAATAAAAACAAGTATAGCACAAACAAAGATCAATCATGGTTTCAAAATAGTTATTTACCAATAAAAAAGAGCCGAAAAAAACAAAGGATTCTTCAAACTAAAAAAGTCGAAAAATTCGAAAACAAATTGACGATGTCATTGCAAAATATGAAAAACAACGAAAAGAAAAAGAACAGTACAAAAAACACAACAATGAAAACTAAAGACGCGAACAACAACCAAAAACCAGTTTTTTCCAAAAGGGTAAGCAGATTTTACTCCACATGTGGCACCCGTCGTTTTGATAATTAAAGTACATACCCGGTGATAAGTCCAAGATGGTAGGTCACATTCGAAGAAAAGAGGACATGATTTTCGTTATGATAATTGAACTATAGCCATCGTCATCTGCGAATACAGTATTATTTGCTTTTACACATAAGAATTACTGACATTCTCTGTTGATGCTGTTATTGCTGGCCATGGCGTTGTCAGTTTGTTTTCGATCTATGAGTTTGACTGTCCCTCTGGTATCTTTCGTCCCTCTTTTATAGTGGGTTTAAAACAAATTTTCTATATAATATAATTCTTTGTTTTTATTATTTATGATCGTATTCATTATAAAATAGACTACAAAAGACTTTAATTTTTTTTTCTGTAATCTCAAATCGAAAATGTAAAATATCAAATAAAAATAAATCTCATTTAATCAGCATATATTTCAATCAAATGCTCAATAGAAAACATTTTTTTCGATAATAGTGATTGATTGATCGCGTACGCTCTTCAATAAATAATCAGGACGACTAGCGGCATGTTTCCAATAATAATTCATGCATTGGCATGATTCTCATGATTTCCGTTTCTAGTTGGAAAAAATGGTTGACTTAGTGTTATACATTGTAATTCTTGGTGATCACAATGAAATTATTTGTTTTGCCACTTGTGATTGCATTACTGTTGTTTAGCTTGGTATATCAAACAAAAGGTGCTTTGTGTATTGATATTGGCTGGAGAGGATGTGCAGATTCGGAATTCAGTAGACCTGGCGGCTACTGTGTGAATTTTTGTATACATTGTCGCTTTGTATAAATCTATAAGTAAAGTGACAAGATATGATTGATGTTTACAATGTTAAAATGTGTAATATATTATACAATTTATCCTCGGTTACCCCCACGACAAGATTTTATAACAAATAGAACAATAAAAATGCAGGAGTGGTTTTTTTTTCTTTACATGTCGACATTTGTTGAACAAAATGGTACCTCGAAAACATGACATCTCGTTGTGATTCCATTCCACTACTTAAACGATTGATACCAACATTTCAATAATATATATACATTCTTGTCGTGTTAAAAGTTTTATGAATTTTGAATAATATTTGGTTTGACTTATATCCACATCCCATTATACACGCTGTACTAAGTGTTATCTCCTCGAAGGTCAGATTGTATAATCACTAGTGGTAAATTTGTCGTATTAAGGATGTATTAGTAATAACTTTTTCCTACCGGATTTTGTTCGAGAGATGGTATGATCAATGAAAATAACGCATTAAATAAACAAGTCAAGAACAGTATTGTGTAATTGTCGGGCTGACTATTGCTTAGACAGGCAGATTAACAGAATCGTTTCACATAAGATAGAAGGTGAGTAATTATTAAATATCTTCTGATTATCACTTACACCAGTTTTTAATATGATCCATATCGGATATATGCTTTTTGGGGTTTTTTTTGTAAAAAATTGTCATCATCGCACAAACAGACGAACTAAGCTCTGAACGAATGATTTATTAAGATGAACACTCAGTAATTATATACCAGTAATTGAATCATGGGCTCATACAAATAAACGTAACAAAATTGTAAAAATTAAACGTACTAGGCAAATTGTACTTTTGAAAAGATTAGCCATACCTCTTTTTTTCATCAACAGGCCGAAGAAAACAATATTATAGCACAACTAGAAAGATTTCCATCTTTTCAACTAAATGTGTTTAATTCTAAAAGTTTACAAAGGGATTTTTGAAAACATTGAATATGAATTAATCAGACTGATATTCATTTGTATTGTAGCAAAACATTAGTCAGGGCTAGACATTAATGGTTAACACATTTGCATACATTGTTTCATGTTCATATAAAAATTTACATTTGAAGACACCAAACGATCATTTTTGGGATGAAATGTTTTCATAGATACCTTTTCATAAATAATCAAAATACGCAACCATAGATCGTTGTTAAAGATCTTCAAAACTTTTCAAGTTGAGGAACAGCTGCTGATCCTTTGATACATATAGGTTATTCCATTCTATTTAATGAAATTGTTGATTTAGTATATATCCACCTAATTTTGTTTTCTTATCAACAATCATGCAAATTCTCTGACTTCAGTGTGTGTATGTTCTCAGATTTACGATGAAATCATTCCTGTTTATATTGATGACCATTATTCTATTGGAACATCTTGGAAACCATTTGGTGGCAGGAGTAGGATGTGCCAGTATTGGGTGGGGAGGGTGTGCTGATTATGGATGCTATAAATCTGGAGGTCACTGCATAAACTATGGAAGAAGACCAAAGAACAGATGCCGATGTGTTAGACGTGGAATCAATGAAAAATGGGTAGGTATTTACTTGAAGACCGAATGCTGACGACAGATGTCCAAAGTTTATTTTTTGTGTTGTTTATGTGTATTGCTTTGTGGACTGTTTCTTGTTCTTCACTCAGTTTTTTTTCTCTTTTTTTATCATGGTGTTGTCTGTTTTTCTTCGACTTATGATTTGTATTTGCCCCTTGGTATCTTTTCCCCTCTTTTTACGAATACAAACAAATTAAATTATTGAAAGAACCTGTAGCGCTAATTAACATGTATAGTTGACTTCTTTCAAAAAACTTTATCAAAGTAAGATAATATGCTAACAGTATTTCTTGAAATACTCGCAATCTAAAAATTACATATGATCATAATATATACACTTTTATCATAAATATAATAATAAAATTCTTTATATCATTACACTTACATTAATTTTGTACATGAAACATTATATTTCAAGGGATTTCTAGGTCAAAATAATTTCAGTTGTAGATCGTAAGTTAGACTTTCAATCAACACAATAATTCAAAAACAAAAACAAAAAAAAAAGGTCCAGAACTTGAAATATTTTTTCGCAAAGCTGAAGTTGCTCGTTTAAAGACCATCAATACCTACATTTTTCAAATTACAAAATCACTTAACTATAATTTATTTTATATAAAGAACGGCAATCTTTGACGAAGAAACTAAAATGGGACCAGCAAATTGTTTGAATATGCCGGATTAGTACTGTTAGCCCTATTGTATCCAATAAGTAGTGTATAGATATATATAGTTTATAAATAATCGTGTCCATGAACCAATCTTAGCAAAACCTACTAATATTTTTGCCTATATGATATCTTATTTCTTGTCCGTATCGAGTTTCTATAATTATTTTCCATGTATCGCTGTGTATGCGTTATATGCAATTTTATTTGCATTTAACTGTTTGTCTTCAATTACAGGTTTATTCTGTTATTGCTTTGTTAATGCAAGATTTGGTGATTCATATACATAGCATGTTTCGCTTATATATATTTATTTTAAATTATATATATTATTTTTAACTGTCAACACCTGATTTGACCTTTTCTCGGTAGATTGTTCTGTGGTTAATTGTAAAATTTACACATCTATTTATTTGAAAGGATTTTTCCAACGTAAATGATCTCTGGTAATCAACTGGTCGTCTATGAATTTCTTTATTACTTTAATTTGATGATATTACACCTGGTGTTTCGGATATCATTTAGGACAAGTTCGACCAAGGCCGTTCATCCTCGTCAGGTGCCCTAGCCTAATTTATTTTTATTTACTACAACATTTGATTATAATTACTTTTTAATTGTTATCAATATGTTTCTCTCGTGTAACGTATCAAATGCAGTTACATTTTGGGGGCACCGTTTTATAAATAATCGTGTCCATGAACCAATCTTAGCAAAACCTACTAATATTTTTGCCTATAGGCTATTTTATCTCTTGTCCGTATCGAGTTTCTATAATTATTTTCCATGTATCGCTGTGTATGCGTTATATGCAATTTTATTTGCATTTAACTGTTTGTCTTCAATTACAGGTTTATTCTGTTATTGCTTTGTTAATGCATGATTTGGTGATTCATATATATAGCATGTTTCGCTTATATATATTTATTTAAAATTATATATATTATTTTTAACTGTCAACACCTGATTTGACCTTTTCTCGGTAGATTGTTCTGTGGTTAATTGTAAAATTTTACACATCTATTTATTTGAAAGGATTTTCCTAACGTAAATGATCTGTGGTAATTAACTGGTCGTCTATGAATTTCTTTATTTCTTTAATTTGATGATATTACACCTGGTGTTTCGGATATCATTTAGGTCAAGTTCGACCAAGGCCGTTCATCCTCGTCAGGTGCCCTAGCCTAATTTATTTTTATTTCCTATAACATTTGATTATAATTACTTTTTAATTGTTATCAATATGTTTCTCTCGTGTAACGTATCAAATGCAGTTACATTTTGGGGGCACCCAAAAGGTCAAATCAGGTGTTGACAGTTAAAAATAATATATATGATTTAAAATAAATATATATAAGCGAAACATGCTATGTATATGAATCACCAAATCTTGCATTAACAAAGCAATAACAGAATAAACCTGTAATTGAAGACAAACAGTTAAATGCAAATAAAATTGCATATAACGCATACACAGCGATACATGGAAAATAATTATAGAAACTCGATACGGACAAGAAATAAAATATCCTATACAGTTATAGGACAAACGCCAGATTTTGAGTTTCTTCAGCAAAATAGCCAGAACATTTACCAATTAACAGCTTATTGATAAATCATTTATTCAAACACTTGTTTATTTGTCTTCACAGCAGGGAATCTTCTGATTACCACAATATTTTAGATGACTGACCAGAAATGACCACATGTGTACCATGGAACAGTACTTTTACAGTTCATATTAATAGATTGTTATCAGAATCAGCTAGTAGCAAACTCTTCTGACTTTTGAATTTTATATACACTAGACCCCCCTTTTTTAAAATTAATACAAGGCAATGCAAACATTCGCATTTGAAAACTGAGTATTTGTGTTTAGTATTTTATTTTTATATTTAAACGTATAACTAAATCTTCAATATAAATATGAATAAGAAATGACTGATTTTGTAAAATATTTTTTGTATACTGGAATGAAACTTGAGAAGTTATAGAATTTGATGTTCTCGTACCACAGGCACTAATGTTTTTATAAATTAACTCTTTACAAAACTTTGAATTTTTCTAAATACTAAGGATTTTTTATTTCAGGAATAGATTATCACCTTAGCTGTTTTTTGCAAAATCTTTTGGAATTTTGGGTCCCCAATACTCTTTCATCTTCGTACTTTATTTTGGCCTTTCAACTTTTTTGATTCGAGCGTCACTGGTCAGTCTTTTGTAGACTAAACGTGTGTCAGACGTTCAAAATTAGATGCCTGGTATTTATGATGAGTTTTTTAGATACAGTCAGAAGTTTGAGTTTTTCTTAGACATCTATAATTTTGTCGAAGCATCATTGAATGATATTATAAGTTAGGTTCTTCAAGATCAAGAATAAAATTTAAAATATTTGTATCAATTTTCCTTATTTTACTGATAAAAGGCTTTTTTGAAGTTAATATTTAGATTTAGTCTTGGGTTAAAGTTTCCAAATATCAATAACTTTATGGAATTTTATGAACAGGGACAGAATTTTCATCATGACCAAAAAAATGGCAACTTAAGAATTTTTGTTTTTTTTTTATTTTAACTTTTCTGTATTTTGCTGATGATTAGAATTATTTTTGTTTAATAAACATTTAGATACAGTTTAGGGTTAAAGTTAACAAAATATCAATAACCTTTCTCAAACCTTCATTTTCAGGAAACTTTTAAAGAAGATTCTTCATACTCAATAAATACCATGAATACCTGACATGTAGATTAAAATTTTGAATTTTCCACCCATTCTTTCGTAATTTACAAATAAATTGTTTTTTGGCAGTCAACTTTTTAGGTATAGTCTGTTGTGAAAGATTTTGAATAATTTTGCCAAACCTTCATGGAATTTTACAAAACTTTGACTGAAGCTTCTATATAATCAAGAGATTGAACCCTGAGCAAATTTTGAATTATTTTTTAGATAACGATGTAAATACAAAATATTTTCCAATAATTTAAATTCGAGACTTCAAGGTCATATTCAGATGTAGATACTCCTAACGGTGCCTTGGTGCCTCCCCTTTTCAAAATCCTTGAATCGCAATTGATATGCTTTTGTCACTGTCCTAAGTCAGGAATCTGATGTTCAGTAGTTGTCGTTTGTTGATATGGTTCATAAGTGTTATATAACTGTATAGGACAAACGCCAAGTTTCATCCTAAAATTTAGGAGATATCAAATTGCACAAATTATTGATGTTAATTAATCCATTCAACATATTACAACCTCTTATCAGACTCCCTGCTGGTAGAGATTAGAAAGTCAGATAATTGGGTATGAAACTTTTATCTGTGACCATGGTAATCAGACCACTGACCACACAGACAAATGTTTAATTCAGAATTTGTAGAAGAACACTATTTTATAGGACCTTATAGAGTGAAATCTGTTCAAGGAATACAACATATGTGTTAATAATATAATATAGATATAAGAAGATGTGGTATGAGTGCCAATGAGACAACTCTCCATCCAAGTCAAAATTTATAAAATTAAACCATTATAGGTCAAAGTACGGTCTTCAACACGGAGCCTTGGCTCACACCGAACAGTAAGCTATAAAGGGCCCCAAAAATTACTAGTGTAAAACCATTCAAACGGGAAAACCAACGGTCTAATCTATATAAAAAACGAGAAACAAGAAACACTTATGAACCACATCAACAAACGACAACTACTGAACATCAGATTCCTGACTTAGGACAGGTGCAAACAAATGCAGCGGGTTTAAACGTTTTAATGGTACCAAACCTTCACCCTTTTTCTGAAACAATTGTGTAAAATCACAACATAGAAAGACACACTATAAAATATCAACTGAAATAGCTTAACTCAATCAAAGGACATATTAACACGAGTGAACATACACTGAACAAATAAATTTAACCTATGATACAATGCAAATACAAAATAAATAGAACTAAGGGAAGAATAATAAAAGTAACATGTTATATCGGTATGAAATGTTAAACAATTTAAGAAAAACTATATGCTTGAACAAAAATATATATATATATATATATTTAAGGAGTTATTTGTATATATGTTTGAAATAATTAGTTGCAGAAATGAATTACTAAATTAATAGTGACAAAAGCATATCAATTGCGATTCAAGGATTTTGAAAAGGGGAGGCACCAAGGCACCGTTAGGAGTATCTACATCTGAATATGACCTTGTTTAAGTCTCGAATTTAAATTATTGGAAAATATTTAGTATTTACATCGTTATCTAAAAAATAATTCAAAATTTGCTCAGGGTTCAATCTCTTGATTATGTAGAAGCTTCAGTCAAAGTTTTGTAAAATTCCATGAAGGTTTGGCAAAATTATTCAAAATCGTTCACAACAGACTATACCTAAAAAGTTGACTGCCAAAAAACAATTTATTTGTAAATTACGAAAGAATGGGTGGAAAATTCAAAATTTTAATCTACATGTCAGGTATTCATGGTATTTATTGAGTATGAAGAATCTTCTTTAAAAGTTTCCTGAAAATGAAGGCTTGAGAAAGGTTATTGATATTTTGTTAACTTTAACCCTAAACTGTATCTAAATGTTTATTAAACAAAAATAATTCTAATCATCAGCAAAATACAGAAAAGTTAAAATAAAAAAAACAAAAATTCTTAAGTTGCCATTTTTTTGGTCATGATGAAAATTCTGTCCCTGTTCATAAAATTCCATAAAGTTATTGATATTTGGAAACTTTAACCCAAGACTAAATCTAAATATTAACTTCAAAAAAGCCTTTTATCAGTAAAATAAGGAAAATTGATACAAATATTTTAAATTTTACTCTTGATCTTGAAGAACCTAACTTATAATATCATTCAATGATGCTTCGACAAAATTATAGATGTCTAAGAAAAACTCAAACTTCTGACTGTATCTAAAAAACTCATCATAAATACCAGGCATCTAATTTTGAACGTCTGACACACGTTTAGTCTACAAAAGACTGACCAGTGACGCTCGAATCAAAAAGTTGAAAGGCCAAAATAAAGTACGAAGATGAAAGAGTATTGGGGACCCAAAATTCCAAAAAATTTTGCAAAAAACAGCTAAGGTGATAATCTATTCCTGAAATAAAAAATCCTTAGTATTTAGAAAAATTTAAAGTTTTGTAAAGAGTTAATTTATAAAAACATTAGTGCAAAAAAAAAACTTATCACAGTAAAATATTGAAAAAAGAAAAAAAAATCTCTTGATGCTGTCATTGTATAAAAGAAGCGTCTGTCAGTTAAATAAATTCTGTGAAGGTTTAACAAAAATGTTGACGTTATAAAAAAAAAAATAACCAAAGAATGAATCTAAATGTTGATGACACGACTAGAGAAGGATTAGTTTAGTTTTAAAACAATATTTTATTTTTCAAAAGTGCTCAAATAACAATTATACAATAGAAATACAGGAATTTGGAAACAAGATGAACTTACATTAATCGTTCCCCATTGTTATGTCTAGCATTGGCGACTTTAGTTGCAGGCTAGACAAATAGTTAATTGTAAAACTGGAAATATTAAAAATGTCAAGATTTTGTTTTTGGTGAAAGACATATATTTGCAATGAATTTTGAGCTACTTTATAAATTTTTAAAACTTGTGTTGGATTTTTGACACCATTATTTAGAGAAAACATTTTCAAAGTGTGCCTGTGGTACGAGAACATCAAATTCTATAACTTCTCAAGTTTCATTCCAGTATACAAAAAATATTTTACAAAATCAGTCATTTCTTATTCATATTTATATTGAAGATTTAGTTATACGTTTAAATATAAAAATAAAATACTAAACACAAATACTCAGTTTTCAAATGCGAATGTTTGCATTGCCTTGTATTAATTTCAAAAAAGGGGGTCTTGTGTATATAAAATTCAAAAGTCAGAAGAGTTTGCTACTAGCTGATTCTGATAACAATCTATTAATATGAACTGTAAAAGTACTGTTCCATGGTACACATGTGGTCATTTCTGGTCAGTCATCTAAAATATTGTGGTAATCAGAAGATTCCCTGCTGTGAAGACAAATAAACAAGTGTTTAAATAAATGATTTATCTATAAGCTGTTAATTGGTTAATGTTCTGGCTATTTTGCTGAAGAAACTCAAAATCTGGCGTTTGTCCTATAACTGTATAACTGTATAGGCAAAAATATTAGTAGTTTTGGTTCATGGACACGATTATTTATAAAAAGTCTATTAGAAAAAATAGATCGTTCAAACAATTGGGAAGACGAATAAGAAAACATTGGCAGTTGATTGAAAATGACACAATTGCTAGAGATCTATTTCCCAAACCGCATATAATTGCTTATCGGAAGCACAAGAACGTGAAGGAATACTTGACCTCCGCAAAATTATAACCACTGTAAATAATAAAAGTATAATTAAATAAGAAAGGACATAAAAGTAATCAGGTTTTTACAGATTCACCAGGTGTAGTGCCCCCAAAATGTAACTGCATTTGATACGTTACACAAGAGAAACATATTGATAACAAATAAAAAGTAATTATAATCAAATGTTGTAGTAAATAAAAATAAATTAGGCTAGGGCACCTGACGAGGATGAACGGCCTTGGTCGAACTTGACCTAAATGATATCCAAAACACCAGGTGTAATATCATCAAATTAAAGAAATAAAGAAATTCATAGACGACCAGTTGATTACCACAGATCATTTACGTTGGGAAAATCCTTTCAAATAAATAGATGTGTAAAATTTTACAATTAACCACACAACAATCTACCGAGAAAAGGTCAAATCAGGTGTTGACAGTTAAAAATAATATATATAATTTAAAATAAATATATATAAGCGAAACATGCTATGTATATTAATCACCAAATCTTGCATTAACAAAGCAATAACAGAATAAACCTGTAATTGAAGACAAACAGTTAAATGCAAATAAAATTGCATATAACGCATACACAGCGATACATGGAAAATAATTATAGAAACTCGATACGGACAAGAAATAAAATATCCTATAGGCAAAAATATTAGTAGGTTTTGCTAAGATTGGTTCATGGACACGATTATTTATAAAAAGAACTTGAAATATTTTTTCGCAAAGCTGAACTTGCTCGTTTAAAGACCATCAATACCTACATTTTTTTCAAATTACAAAATCACTTAACTATAATTTATTTTATATAAAGAACGTCAATCTTTGACGAAGAAACTAAAATGGGACCAGCAAATTGTTTGTATATGCCGGATTAGTACTGTTAGCCCTATTGTATCCAATAAGTAGTGTATAGATATATATAGAAAGTACTGGTAACATTTTTTTCAATATAATGGTTCCTAATGTAAATCATTAAAAAACATTTACCTTGTACCTCAATAATATTTGGTACTACAGACAACAGTAGACAAAGGTATTAGTAAGCAGATATTGAAAGCAAGCTGAATACAATCTGTCATGTTCCTTCCTCTGTCATCTTATACTCGGGGTCACTTCTATCCTTTGGGGTAGGGATGGGTAACTGAGATACCCGGTACCCTTCCATGTTCCTAAAAAATTAATATTAGAAATAAATATTCCGTCGTATATTTTTCGTACATGATTATGTTATTTTATATGGAAAAAAATTATTTTGACAAATATCTGATTTATTTATAACTGTGGTTTTAATCACATCTATAAAAATTTACTGACATTTGATTAGTTGTAACGTGGCACTAGCTACGAGATATAGAAAAAAAATAAAATATGATTTTTTTTTTGTTCAATCATTAATGAAGGTGAAATAGTGAAATAAAAATTCGCTTTTTGCAGCCAGTTTGGTTTAGTTCTGTCAAAATAAGCAAAAAACATCGCTAATGAATTTTTCACTTACAAGTGAATAAATCGACCTCCTGAAAACAGTATTCATGTGAACTTCAATTGACCTCTTAGCTAGAGATGGTTAAGCCTTGAACTAGGCGTGTTCAGCTAGTAAAAGGAAAAGAATGTCAACATTGAAAGTGAATCAAGGGTAAACCATTTGATGGACTTAGTCGATCTACAAAAACTCATTCTTATACAGGTAAAAACGATTATTAACATATTGTTTTAACCTATAATATGAAATCAAACAGACCTAGAAAAATCCAAATGCACGAGTTCGCTATCTATTTATATCTATGTTTATGTTTATGTTTATATCGGGTTATATAACCGTCGTCAGTCTTCGGAAGGTCACCTCGATGGTTAATTAGATGGCGTCTATACTAAAATAAACACGAAATGCTGATACATAATTTCGAGTTTAAGCATTTTTTAGACTGTTTTTTATTTGGATATACGTTTTAGTATGTTATAAGTTGAATATGAGAATTTGAGTCAAATCGGTGAACATGAATTTGACAGCTAATGCCCCTTTAAAAAGATAATCAACAACATTTTCATATATTCATTTCAATTTCTTGTCCTTATCATATAGTTTCAAACTTAAAATATTTACCTATACATAGTTAGTGGAATCCAATTCCTCCCCCCCCCCCCCCCCCCCAATATATTTCGGTCGCTATGCTTCAAGGCTCTTTAAGCTACATCATGAACATTATTGGGAAGCATGATCTTGTGCAATGCTGAAAGTGGAAAAAGAAACACAATTGAATTTTAATTAACGTTATAAACTGCAATTTTTAAATTGATTTGTAAATGGACCTATTTTTGTATGAATTGCATTAACATTTGAAATGTGTAATTAGAAAAAGGTAATCGCGTCTTACGTGAATTAAATGTTGCGTCTAAAATATATCTTTTGCTTGTTTTTATAATTGGTAACAATATACATTGTATATATTTTCAGATGAAGGAGACTACGAACGTGCTAGAATTCTTTCAAGTTATAATGGATACAAAGGAAAATGATCCTTAATTTCACTCTAGGAAATTGACTATTGACCCAACAGAAAAAAAAAACAAATTCACCGTTTCTTTATGTAATGTCTAATCTCTCTCTTATCCATTGACATTTGTAGCCGTTATAAACAAATGCATTTATTATACCAGAATTTTGGCAAACATAATTAATTTGTATCTTCAATTTCAATGAATTCTATTATAAAAGTCTTTCGAATGTATTTTCATCGTATACCTTTCATTATATGTTACTATGCTACCCACGGCAACAAAAGACTTGTTTCAAGTCAGGAGTAGTTATTATACGTCGGTGAATGTCATTGTCTGTATAGTTTGCTTTTGTGTTGATGTTTTATTTATCTAACGTCTCTATTGACATGTCAAATAGACATCCTCATCATGTCGTACAAGTCTTACATATTTTTTCGCCTGTCACGAATACTTCATTCAGTTCAAACATATTCCTGACACCCAACAATGTCGATCTGAACATTTAAATGAAGTTAGGATTATATAAATACATCTTTATTAAATACTTAACATTGTAAAGCTGCAACTCCTTATTACCAAATCACAAACCATAGTCGGAAAACTAAACCTGAACATTTTACTGTTAAATTGTATTTAGACCACATATTGGCAACATATCGAAACGTTCTGTGGTGTTACTGTCATCATCACGAATTGGTTGACCGATACTACAATGTATGTCTCGGTGTCTCAATTAAATCCCTATCGACATGTTTTCGCAGCCTAAGATCTTTAGATACCAGAAAAGTCGTCTGATCTGTAACTTGCCCGTTTATAAATTTTGAAATTATAAAGAAACTAAGGATTCAACTCCCTCGGGCAAAGTTGGCTTAAGAAGGATTTGGTTATTATTTTATGTCATTTTCGATTATATAGCGCTTCAGCTGCTTCGGTTTTATACATTCTTGGCTTTCAAATATTCGGCTAGGAGCGTTTCAGATGAAGGTAAATCCAGAAAAGCGCTTCGGACGCAAAGTTAACCCTGTCTAAAGTGGCAACTGGTTTACTCTCGCCTTCATTCATTTAGTGTTAACCCATTGAAGAAATATATATAAAATAAGGAGGTTTGATATGATTGCAAATGAGACAACTCTTTAACAGGGTCTAAATGAAGCGGATTAAACCGCAAATCTTGTACTGATAAAGTCAGATCTCATGTCAGGCCCTGTCATGACAAAATATAAACAATAATTAATGAAAAAACAACTGCCTGGTATAAACCAAAACATGAAACGAAAAACAAACATGATTGACATCAACCACCCTAATTACAGGCTCCTGACTTAGAACAATCAATACAAACTTTTCAAGATTCCCTAATAGTCTGGGATTATGATATTTGTCTTAATACGACAGGCTCAGGTGGAAAAATTTCGAACCATCTTCATATCGACTCTAGTCTTCAATCCAAATAGGGGCCTCGGTGGCCGAGTGGTCTAAGTAGTTCAAGAGAAAAAGTAGTCAAACAACTGTATCACTAGCTAGTCAACACTGCGGAGTTAGAATCCTGCACGTGGCAGGTGCGCTCGACTCTTAATCTTAATAGACTAGGATTGTCAGTTTTCCCATAGAAAGTAGGTTGTTCTCTTCGGGCACTCTGCGTTTTCCTCCAAAAAATTAAAACTGACCGCCACGAAATAGCACATCAATACTGAAAGTGGCGTAAAATACCAATCAATACAAATGGAAAAATGACGGGATTCATTTTCTGTCATATATGTACGTGTCTATGCTTTTTTTCTTTTTTTTTTTTTTTTTTGTGGGGTACTAATTTTTTTCTTTTTCTTGATTTTTAGTAGAACGGGGGAAACCAAGAATTTCAATATGTTATAATTCAAATTTCCTATAAGCTTCTTTACATTTTTTTCCCACTAATTATTCACGAAAATACAATTAATCATTGTGTTTTTTTTTATTTCCTTAAGATACAAGTACAATGATGGTTTTAACTAGACTGTTTCAGTCAATTCTTTTGTTATTTTCATTTGATTTATTCACAACATAAGTGACATCAATGAGACAGCTACTGAACTACACAAACAATACAAACTTCTAGAGGTCAATACGGGGTCTTTAGCGATAGGCAATTGTATCGAAAATAAGCCTAGCTGTAAATCTTCAGAATCTGGTAAGGCGTGTTTTAATTCAACAGAGATTATAAGATATCAGTCATCAACGGCTAACATGTTCCTTAAAATATACAAACAAGACATGCAGACTTATAAAAACGAAATCATTGACGAAGTTCCTTACAACTTTGAGATCATTTTAGTTAGATAAAGTTAAAATTTATAGCAGGAACTGTATGATTGCAGTGTGACACTCTGATGCTATTATTTTGGTTTCCAATAGATCGGCGGTGCCTTATCTACAAGGTATGACATACCGATTTTTTTTATACAAACGATCTATAAACCAGATTTTCAAGTAATGTATTATATTTGTACTGTAGTATATGTTTTAAACATATATCTAGAATTCGAATATTGTATACAGGTATTTTCCTGACATTCAACTTTTCTTAAAATATCAAGAGCATGTCCAGATCTTGAAATGTTGAAATGTTATAGCCCAAAATCCACTGTAGTGGTTATCTTTGTGCATATCTTGTGCAGCATTGGTGGGTCCAGGGGGTTTCCGGATGATGGAACACCCTTTTTTATTTTTTTTTTAATTATCTGACCGTTTCATGGTGGAACCCAACCCCCAACGCCTTTTTCATGGTGGAAACTCCCCTTTTCATGATGGCTGGATCCGCTCCTGTGAAGGGTGTCTATACTCCTAAAGTAATATTACTGAAACCAAAGAAATATAATCAATTGTTTTGTTGTAGTGATTGACAGTAATCACATTGAAGGCAACCTCTTTCACAAGTTTTAAATCTCACCAGAATTATCGGTTTACAATGATCTAATATAGTTTCATGTATGTAGTGGTTGAAGTCGACGATAAGGAAATTATTATCAGTTATTTTCAAATGAAATCCAAACTCACTCATCAACGTAAGTAACTAAGATTATCTTTATAAAAAAATCATTTAGTTTTTATTTTATTAATTAGTACACAATGCTTCCATTATCTTTTATTTCGTTCATTAGAACATAATTTTTCCATTATCTTTTATTTCATTTGTTAGAACATAATTTTTCCATTATCTTTTATTTCATTAATAAGCACACATTTGGCCTTACTGAAAAAATAAAAAAAAATAGTCAAAATATGGTCAAAATACTCATGTTGTCCGGACGGTTAATAACTAAACGTGTAATACTCATATGGTCCGGAACATATATGTACATGAATATAAGGCTAAACATACATTGTAATTGTAAATATTTCCAATTAATTTAAGTTTTATTTTTGTTTGTTTAAATTTAATAATACCTTATCAGGATATGATTACTATAACATTAGACAAGGGATGACATTGTTTCATTTTGAAAACAAAATTACAATGCTGACGGATTCCATTTGTTACAAGCAGTTTAGAGTTCATTTTTACATCTCATTAGCATGTTCTCGTTATTCTGATCTGTCTCTAATACTTGCCACTAAAGTTAAACAACAATCCGCCAACATCATCGTATACGCTATTCGTAAATATTGTGCCAGAAACAACAAATGGCTGTCAGAGGACAGAAAACCGGATTTTTTAACATTTATTTGTGTCCTGGCATTTTTCAATATCACAAGGACCATAACTAATCATCAATATTGAATTTGACCTCCATTTTGTCATCAGTAACACCATTTTAAAATAGTGAAACCTTTGGTTGAACGGTTCACGAGTTAAAGCATGGACATGACTGGAAACACCATTTTTCAATCTTTCAAGAACCATAACTCCTGAACGGTGAAAGTGAAAATCGTCAATATCAAACTTGACCTCCGTTTTGTCATCATTAACAATATTTTAAAATTTGAAAAGCTTTGGTTGAACGGTTCATGAGTAAATGCATGGACACTGTTTGGCAGCCGCCCGCCCGCCCGGATGCATGGACACTGTTTGGCAGCCGCCCGCCCGCCCGGATGCACGCCCGCCGTACATTCCCAAATCAATAACAGATTTTTACTTCGTAAATCCGGTTAAAAATAAATGTTAAATATTCAGGAAATATTTTATGATAGCCAATGAGAAACTAGTTCTGCAAATAAATAAATAAATGACAGTTTTCTTAATTTGATTTCAGACCGTTAATTAATGTGGCATCGTTATCTCAGTGATTCAAATGAATTCCAAAATGTTGTGTCTAAAATGTAATTGGAAAGCATTTAAATAACCAATAATGGTATAAATACAACTGTTGTATGATAAACAGAAATATTGTGAAAACGTTTTAGGATTAAGCTGAGGTATAAACAATCGATACAAACATATGTTTGAATATCAGTCTATTCGAGATTATGAGATTTTTACTTTTACGAGATCATTGAGAACGAATGGAGATGAGGGGAGATGTCAATAAAACAGAACCCCTCACAAATAATACATATATTGTAACGCTGCCTCTCTGGCTTTAGAGTCGGCCACCAGAGATCACAGGGTCACGTAAAAAGGGATCTATTAGAGGTCGAGAAAGGTGTCTAAATTAAAACCACCGATCTAAACCCGAAATAGGACGAAGGAAAAATATATAAATATATATATATATATCAATGTGCTAGTATAATTCGGTTTTCGTGAGGTTTATTAAAGTAAAAGATAATAATTTATAAAGTTCAACATTTTATTAACGAAATAAAATACTGGGGGAAGGCTGAACTCTCGGTTCTGTCACTGGTCAGTGGCCCCTGGTAAGGTTGGTCTTACAAAAATTAACACGAATGTGAATACTACTCATAACATAGCATTTCATTACAACTAGTCCTTTATACAAAGGTAACTATCATATCCATAACTAATTTTAACCAAACAAGATAAAAGGACTGACCTTCGCCAAATTGTTCATAAAACATACATATGCTTCTCCATAAACTATTTATGTCACTATCTCAACAACTATAGCTATATCAACAGTAACTTACACACGTGAATTCATCAACTCCAAATCCGGTGACAAAATTATTTAGTCACCGTCACCGACAGTTTTAGTCACCGTCACCGTCACCGACAGTTTTAGTCACCGTCACCGAGATTAGTCACCGTCACCGTCACCGAGATTTAATCACCGGGACTTATA